CGCTCATGGTAACCTTCTCTTTTGCACGTTTTTTCATCGGTAGATGGCACACCTTCCCCCCACTCAAAATGCGATGTCCCCATCGCACGACTAGTTCTCACTCGGAGACACGCAGACCTTGGCCCACCAACGAGTAGACGGATGTCGGCCCATCAGCCCCAAAAAGGAAGGATGACCTGTCCTCCCCCTGGTGATAACTCACCTCATCCCCTACTCCGTCCGACCTTTTGCCGCTTACAAGACGGGCGTCATCACTGAGGTACATCCTCACATCAGGCAGGTCGGTCCAGTCCGAAACCTCCCAGCACCCCATCTTGCCGAAAGGGTTTTCTCGCGAATGGTTCCTCCCAAGTGGTGTTTTCTTGGATACGGCCTCTTCCTTTCATGAAAGTTGAAACTCTCAATTAGTTTGCGAGTGCAGTTACGAAGACCTCGAGTCGCAGTTACTCCCGAAACGGTTGTAATGATCTGGCAGGGCGGTGTCACTCGCCCTGTGATGGTTGCGGCTTCCACCCGGTACCACGTCTGACTCCTCCCTCTGGACAATGCCGCTCAACTTAACGCGAGCTGCCGTGGTCCATTCCAAACAACTGTGCCGCCCCTCTACGGCATGACGCGTGGTTGGGGGGGGAAAAATGAGACTTAGAAAAAAAAATGGCTCTCTCGCCCATTTGGCTTCACGCCCTTGACGTTTAGGTTCTCAATATGAAGCCCAGTTTGAACTCCCCGACTAGAGCTCGTTGTCGGGGTTAGTTCCGGACGGCTAGCATCAATCAAGGAGAGAGATGCTTTGGTTTTTCAACCCTTATTCCTTCTTATGAGGAGCAGGTCGCGTTGAGACTTACCCTTGACGGTAGAGGTCCTGGGGTTGCGATGCATGCACCGCTCTCCCCCTTATGTTGAGACCCGAGACTAGCAGAAAATGAAAACTCGATCTCTTGCTATTTTCATGGTCGGCCCAACGACCTTACATCAAGTTGCCTACGGTCCCCTGACTATGCAATGCAATATCCAATTCTCAAACACTCTATCCATGCTATTTCCAAGGCTGATTCTCATGGTTGGTCTGGCAGCCTCTCATCAATCAAGGCCACTCTTTGTGGCCGCTCTGGCGGCCGCTTTCTTAATAATCATTCTCACAAGGGCCGACCCATCGGCCCACCTTCAATCCTCATCTTTCACATTCCCCACTATTCATTCCTTACGATCGTCCCTCCGGTCCATGCTTCTCTTGTCTTAAGGCTCAGCCTTCTTTATCCTGCCCTTCTCATTCCCATTCGTCCATTCTCATGGTTATCTCAATGACCGACCCACCGGCCTTTTCCATCTCCTCCACCCATCCCATTGGTTATTTCAATGACCGACCCACCGGCCTTTTCCATCTCTTTCATCCATTCCATTGGCTATTTCAAGGACCGGACCACCGTCCTTTTCCATCTCTTTCATCCATCCCATTGGCTATTTCAAGGACCGACCCACCGGCCTTTTCCATCTCTTATTGCTCATTCCAGCTCATTCTCAATCATCCTTTCTCAATCAACCTTTCTCAATCAATTATGTAGGGGACCCTAGTGCCTATTCCAAAAGGAATGACCCTTGTCATGGGGCATTCCCGAACAACCTGGTTAGGGTCGTTCTTATCCATTCTCAAGTCGAACAACCTGGTTAGGGCCATTTCTTTCCATTCTTAAGTCGAACAGCCTGGTTAGGGCCATTTATTTCCATTCTCAAGTCGGACAGCCCGGTTAGGGTCATTCCTTTCCATTCTCAATGTTACTGCCCGAGGGGGTGGGCCTCGAGGTTACGGATCTCATTTCAGTCTTGAAGGTTAAAAGGTGGCCATCTCATCTCACTTTTCAGCGTGCTCTTCCCTTTGTCCATTTCTCAGAGTAGTGTATTTATCCATGCATACATCCGACTTAGCGTCTAGTACTTGAGTTGGGGCTCGCGACCCCAAGCAGCACTAGCCCACCCGGTCGTTCAACCATAGCAAAAGACAGGGGCGCCCCCTCTTATTTTCACTCGTTTTGATGACTCGGACCTTGACTATTCTCAGACTCCTTCATGACTCAGTTGGATTAGGCTCCTAGGGAAGGAGTGTTCTTCACGCCCCTTAACCCATAGGTTCCCTAACCTCTCTTGTACTCGATCAACATTCAATGCCTTGCTTTGCTCGTCAATCCGTATTCAAAATTTCTTCCCTAAAAAAACACAATCCTCATTCCATCAAAATCTCACAATACATTTTTCCCAACTGGTCTCATCCCACGCCCCATGTCCTTGTCTTGTGTACCCACTTTTGAAGGTGGTTCATCCAAAAGTAGCCTCAATACGCTATCTTCTAACTTATCATGACACAGTCTTAGCTGGCTCTTTCATCACTCATCCTTTGCAAGCTTACTCATACTATACACATTCTGCTCCAATGTTTTGCGAATGAAAAACAGGATTCTTGCCCAATACTCAATCAACATATAATGCCTATTGCTGTCCTGTGCCTCAACGCGCTCGGCCCCCTGTCCACCCTGTTCCTCAGCCGGCTTTCTAACCCCAAGGCCGAAGGTCTCGATTTCTCTCCTTGTCCTTGCAATTTTTCGTAGTTCTGCCTCGTTGAAAAAATCCAACGGCGTGGCTTCCACCCTTGCCCTTGCGAGTTCCCGGGTTTTGATAATCCATTCATGCTTGACTACGCCGAGCCATTGCTCAAACCAATGGCTGGGCGTTGGCCCAAACTCATCCTCCCATCTGAAGGTTTCTTCGCGCGGCTGGTGCATCGGAGACCGCCTTTCTTCCCTAGGCCTCGAGATATCATCCCTCTCATCCCGATGCTGATTTCTATGATTTCTTGCACATCTTCCTCCTCTTCCTCCGTCTGTATGAGGCTATATCCTCCCGTTAGGTTCTTTGGATCGTAGGTATAAGGAATCTCCGTCCTTGTCTCATACCCCTCACAACTGTCGTGGCCGCTTCGTCCTTCAAGCGGGCTTTCTCTTCTCTCCTCACCATCCTCACGCTCGTCGTGCCTGTCCTGTCCCCCCTCGCTCTCCCCATGCCAAGTCTCACGTCGTTCGCCTCTGTTGGCTCCTTCCTCGTCAAAGGCCTGAGCCTTATCTCCTATCTCTGCATTGCCCCCTTCTTTCATATTTGCCTTTTCCTTCTCGCCCTCACTGTCAGATGAGATTTCTATACCTTCTCCCTTGCGGAGGGGCGAGGGTCTTCTACATACGCACTTTTTTCCACCCCTACCTACCACCGGCCTGCCCATGAGCCCTATTTACGACTTTCTCTTCGTTGTCCTTCACCCTTGGCTTGGTCCTGCTTCTTCCCCTCCGGTAGGCCTATTGATTGCCCCGCTGTCGTTCTCGTTGTCGAATTCCGTTTTTGTTTTTTCTCGTTTTTCTTCTAAGTCCTATATAACAAAACAACACCCGCAATGCCCCTCATACACCCGTTTCCTCAGTCCGGTAGGCAGCTCCCCTTTCCCCAGAATGCTCCCAGTATCCTTCGCATCATGTTCCTTTTATACATTTCCCTCCCTTATGCAAATGCGCCGTTTGTGAAGGTCTCATTATTTCCCCGTCAAAAACTATGATACAATGCCCCAACAATCCTTCTCGTCGTCGCACAAGCCCGTTACCGCAAATTCCCAAGTCATCCTGCCTTTCAACCCCAGTCAGTCCAACCCATTATCCCAGCCCCCCAAAAAAATGACAGTCCCACGAGCGCAGTCAGTGATCGAACCATAGCGTGGTCATGGCCGCTGTCAGTCCTTAACATGTTGCCCCTCGGTTTCCTTATCCTCGGCCTCCTGAAGTCATTGTTCCATTGGGTCTCGACTTAGAAACCTGACCAATCGTTGCCCCGGGAAAGGTCTTTTTAATCCAGTTTCATCCAAATCTTCTAGTTCGAAGGTGTTCAACCCCACCCGCTTAGCGACCCAGTAGGGGTTTTTGAACCTCCTCCCCAACTGTCCAGACCAAGTACTTTCCAGTGTCGAGTTCCGTAGCAATACTGTCTCCCCCACCTGAAGTGACTCCTTTCTTACATTCTTAACATGTTCCCACCTTGCTTTGTCCCTCATTCTGCTGTCTAGTACCCAATTGGCGATGTCTTTCATGACTTTCTCGTTCTTAAGGATCTGTTGACACCTTGCCTCGATTAACTCCTCCGTGGTCATTTGCGGATCATCATCTAGCCTGTTCCAAGTAGGTATCAAGGCATCCACGGAAAAGTCGATCTCTCTTCCATACCAAAGTTCTACTGGGGTACATCCCGTTGTCCTCTTAGGGGTCATGTTCTCTGCAAAGACAACCTGCTTAAGATACCTAGGCCATCTCCCCAGATGGTCCGCTGCGAGCTTCGCAATCGTGTTCTTCAAGGTTCGGTGCCCTCTTTCCACAGGTGCATTAGCCTCAGGGTGATACGGGTCGATGAGTTTGATCGGCACGCAGAGTCTCTTAAGCATCCCCAATACTTCTCGGTTCACAAACTCAGTCCCATTGTCTGTTATAAACCTCCTGACGAAAGGATGCCTCAAGTAGAAGTCTTCTATCCAGTCCGCCACAGTTCTCCCTGTCTTTTTCTTGAGAGCGACCGCCTCCACGAACCCACTCGAATTGTCTCCCGCATCTAGGATATACCTGTACCCATCCGTTGATACACGCATGACCGCAAGGTCGAGGTGGACCAGATGTCCCGGCCCTAGCACCCGCGTTGGTCTAAGCGGCTCAAGGACCCGTGCCGAGCTTCGTTCCTGGCAGATAAGGCAAGTCTGGCAGTATATAGCAACCATGCCTGCCATGTCCGGCCAGTAATAGAGTTGCGTTATCTTTGCAAGCGTTCCTTTAGACGATCGATGGCCTCCGAACATTGCCTGGATAACGTCTAATTGCCTAGGTCTTCCGCATACAACTCGTCTATGCACAACACCTTCCTCTCTCCAGAACAGATGGCCGCCCCTTAGGACGTACCTTTCTGCCTCCTCCCTTGCTTTGACATTGACTTCCGTAGGTTGTTTGTTTTCTACCAGCAACAACCCGATCTCCCGAAAGAGCCCTTCGTATAACTGGGCATAGAAAAACTCCTTCCCTTCCTGGTCCTCATACTTTCCTTCCTGCATCTGGTTTACCACCCATTGCAACTCTTTCCTTTCCCAAGATTCCACTATGCTCATCACGACTTCCCGGCCTCCCTCAACCGCCATTGATATTAGTTCCTCTTTCGGTCCTACTATCAAGTTCCGCTATTATGGCAGACACCCCCTTCTCCAAAGTCCGGATCAATAGTTCTCCCGACGTGCATTCTTCGCCCATCATTTTGTTATCCACCGCAAAAGTTCCTTCTTCGTATTCAAGGAATGCGTCTATGAGCTCCGCATCCTCCACCCCTGCGGGAGTGATGTAGACCCGGCTCAGTCCATCAACCTTGTTCCTAATTCCCGCATTCCGTTCGATTCTGTAATCGAACTGCCAAATAAATCCTACCCATCTCCTCACCGCCGGATCTATAGGCCTGTAATTCTTTAGGGCCCCTGCGACATTTGTCGGATCGATCCTAAGGGTGAACCACCTCCCAAATAGGTAGGCCTGAAAGATCTTAAGGCAGTGCAAGATGGCTAGGACCTCCTTCTTGAACTGTGAGTACCGCCGCTCTGCGGAGTTCAGGGTTCTACTTTCGAACCTAATTGGCCTCTCATTTCCTTCCTCATCCCGTTGAATCAGTACCCCCCTTACGGCCAAGGGTCCTCCATCCGTTTCTAGGATGAAAGGTCGTCCCACTTCATCATTAAAACAAGGTGCGGATAAGGCGACTGTCTCAGATGTCAATATGTCCTTAAGTTTTTGGACGGCTCCTTCTCGCTCCTCCATCCAATCCATGGTTCCTTCTTCTTTGATCATAGCTCGGATAGGCTCAACAATCTTGGCAAAATTCTTAATGAAGATCCTCCAAAAGTTAACCACGCCTATAAATGCTCTTACCTCCGTTGTCGTGCGCAGTGGCGTCGGCCACTGTGATATCTTGTCGGTCTTTGCCAGATCTGGTTTCCTTCCGTAAGCACCGCAACGAAATCCTAGTATAGTTACTTCTGGTACTGCTAGAATACTCTTTGGTCCGCTAGCCGTGATGTTGTATACTAGGAACCGGCAGAGCAAGTCCTTGATGTCCTCCAGGTGGTCCCATACAAACCTTCGGATTCCTGGTCGGACTTCCGTCTCATCCTTCTCCTGCGCGCCTTTGATCGGATTGTCATCGATGTAGGGCTCACACTTATCTGGAAACATCTCCCTGGCCACGGTGAGCATTCTTTGTTGTGCTTCGGCTACCACGTTTGTGAAGCCCATAGGGGTCACCTGCATCTGCAACTGCCCCACGGGGGTGTACATTGCCGTGTACGTCCTGTCCCGAACATCCAGTGGGAGCTGGTCGTACCCCGAGTACAGATCGATCAAGGAGTAAATGCTCCGACCGGCGTGCGACTCTGCCAATAAGTCAGCCTGAGGTAGCGAGTCAGCATCCCGGATGGTTACCGTATTTAACTTCTGCAGATCCTGAATCCATCTTAGTATCTTGTTAGGCTTCCGAAAGACGAGCCACCGGTTTGCGTACGGCGACGCCGTAGGTTTTGCAACGAAAGAGTCCATCTTTGCTCGGAGGAGGTCTGTCACTTCCCCTGCTATCCCAAATTTATAGGATGGACCCTTGTCATTCCAGCACTCATGTTCCACCATGTGGATTGTGACCGGAGGGATCAGCTTCGCATCCAGTCGTCCCTTTTGGTGATCACTAAAGGCAAATGCCAGGTGAAACTCCTGGCAGGTTCTTTTGATCAGGCGGGTTTCTTCTTCCGTTAAGAATCCGTCTATCCCTATCTTCATTGTGTCAGCTACCTTATCTGGTATCCGATGCCTTTCCGTCGCTCTCCTCTCTTGGATCACTCGAATGACTTCCTCCTCCCTCTCCATAGCCTCTTCCTTTGATATCTCTAGCAGGATCGAGACAGACTTTGCTTTCTTCCCTACCGGCTTGTATTTTCGAACACTTCCTTCCGGGATCTTTCTCCTAAAAAATGAACGGCCGGAATTGCCCTCGTCATCTCTACGACTCACGGTTGGATACTAACTAATTTCTCATTCAGGCAATATCCCTTTTGCACCTCTCCTTCGAACTTGGCCAAGGCCGTTGAGTCCACTCCTACCTTGTGGTATTTGAGGGCCTTGATGACTTGTAACAGATCGGGGATCTCGAGTGCGACTCTTGGCACGTCCATGCGTACTTCTTTCCGCCTGGGTAGGCTAGCACTAAGTTCGACTTCTGACTCCTTTTCTGCTACCATAACACCTAGGACTTTGTCCTCCTGCCTCCTCTTCTTCTGGGGCAGGCCCATCTTGATCCACTCCTTCTTGTTGAATGTTTCCTCAATCATGATTTAAACCCTTTTTCTCTTACCTTCCATTCATGCGAAAGCCCCTTTTTGCGTGCTATCCTCGAACGACGGCGACCATGTTGCTAATTTTCCCTTTCCAAGGAGTCGGAGGAGCTCTCCCCGGCCGGTCACTGGGACCTCTATGTCTACCATGTAAGAGTCGTCGTGCAAGTGCATACCTATCATTTCTACGTTTGCGCACCACGGTCTCCCGAGGATTATGTCGTGGTCCATTTCCTCCATTACGGTCATCCGCTGAAATGACCAGATCTACTCCCTGACTCTTGCTTTGACTGCGCATTTCGTGACATACCCAGCGAGCGGGATTTCCCCACCGGCTCCCCGGATGCTTCCTGTTACCTCCTTGTTCACCGTACAACCCGTGATTGTTGCGAAATCCGTCCTTATGAGAGTGATTTTCGCTCCCCCGTCTACTAATGCATCGGTATGATGAGTCTCGATCTGGATTTTCAGTTTCCCTACGGGCAGCGCATAAAAACTAAGCTTTGTCCTGGATGGAGCCCTCATGACCTCGCCACCCTTTCGGTCCAGCAAGCTAAGGCGGATGTCTGCAAATACTTTCTCGAGATCCTCCAAATCCCCGTGACTCCTCTGAAGGTTAGCGACTTCTTGTGGAGTTTCCTCCTCTCTTTCCTCCTCCGGTGATTCTGGGTTTTCGTCGATGTCTACTCGCCGCTGGGTCAACAGTTGTTTAAGCCCTTTGAGCAACCTAAGGCTGGCCTGCAACATGGTCTGAAACGACACCGACACCATGGTCCCTAGTAGTTTGCTAACGGTGTCATCGATCTCCGGCAGGGTTAAGATCGGAATCTGATACCTAAACTCCTTTTTGGCGGCGGTAACTTTGTCCGTGGGTTCCTCTTCCCTAGGTTTCCCATAAACTTTCTCTGGTTCCCCGGCCTCAAGTTCTGCCTGGGGTACGGAACTCCCGACAACCTCCTCCATCACGGTGTCACGGATAATCCTTCTCCCAGCCGTCCCTAGCCGAGTAGTCGCGTTCACCCTATCACCTCCGTCATTTTCCATAATGAAGTTGACCTGCAGCCCGCGCCCCCGTAGTTGCTCCCAGATGATATCGACCACCGGCTCAGCTTCTACGACCGCTATCTCTAGCCCATTGAGCATGATAACGGCTCGCCGTATTCCCCCTGGCGAGTTCCAGTTCACCCGTTCTCGCTGTGGCCCGAATATCTCCCCCTTTAACGACCTGGTACATCTCCTTTTTAATATATCATGGTTGAGCTTTGGACATGTGCGTACATAATGTCCCACCGCGGCGCAGTACTTGCATTGCTCGCTAGCAGGATCTCTCCGTCCAAATCCCCGATTGGCTACACCCGGCGGAACTACGGCTTCCTTGGGAGGGGGGGAGGGTCTGGATACTTGCGCCTGCATAACCAATAGTGCACTCTCCATCCTTTCAATCTTGTTGTCGGCTCCGTGCACCCGCTCATGTAAACTTTCAATCCCCTTTTTTACCTTGTCGCCCGTTCTACCGGTTAGATCTATGACCTCCCCTTCCTTAAGCAAGACCAATGTCTCGGTCACTACTGTCTTTTCGGCCAGATCCGTTACTATGCTAAAATGAACATCCCTGGTATTTACGAACTTGCTCGTCTGCTGGTAGGGCGACAAAATCTTGTCTTTGTCGAACTCAGGGAACTGCCTAAGGAAGTATTTGCTCATTATTCAGTCCGTTACCCCCGGGATCCTTAGCGCTGCCAGAGTGAACTCCCGTAGAAAGTCATTGTACGTCGATAAGTTTTTCCTCTTGACTGCCGCTAAATCGGTCTCCGCCGCCATCTTCTCTGCTGCCAGGTATTTTCTCATCATCACATCCCGGGTCTCCTTCCAAGACTGGCTCGCGGCCACAATGGCCATTATGTCCCGCCCTAGGCTCACTGACACATGCTGTCCTAGGTGGTCCATATTTTCTTCTTCGGTCCATTTCAGCAGCGCAGCTAGGTTCTCATAATCGATCAGGAATTCCGTGATGTTCTCCCCGTCGAACGTCAATTTTTTCTTAGCATCCGCTAGGTAGCCCTGGTTTTTGTTCGGTGCTCGCGCAAGGGATCATACTATCTTCTTAAGGCCGCCTTCGGAGCTACTGGCCTCACCTGCCATACTAGTATTTGACCGTTCCTTGCCGACTTTCTGTCCCTCCCTGGTCTTTGCAGTTCCTTCTGGGTCGAAGCATCCCAACACCCTTTCCCTAAGGCTCCAGAGTCCTTCACACCCTCATATTACTGCTGGCGTGGTCGGCAGACGGCCCTACTATTTATGGCTGGCAGGGTCGTAGCCTTTTCCGCTTCCATCCCAGAGAGTTTTCCCTCTCTTTCCTCCTTTTGCTCGGCGTTCCCCCACGGTCACTACCTTTATCCCCTTGTCCAGTTCCACCTCGGCTGGTTTTCCGTTCATCCCGTGGTTCCTCCTGCAGAGGGCCTTCTTCGTTTCCAGTCATCGTTTCCTCAATCAATCTTGCCTTGTACTCTGCGGTCCTCTTTTCTATCTCTGCTAGTTTACGCCTCGCATCCGTGACCCTTACTTTCTTAGACACGACTCCCTCTGAATTCGGGGGGCTTGCCCTATCCTTATTTCTGCCCTCCTTGGTTTCCTGAGTCCCTTGCCTGCTTCCCCCGACTTTCCCCGAGCTTTTCCCTGAGGAGATTTCCTTACGGTTCCCTTTGGTACCATTCGGATTTATCGATTCTCTGTCTTTCTGCCCCTCTTCGCTCTGTACGGTACTGCCTTCTAAGCCCGGTCCTCCTTCGCTCTTACGGTTATCCGTCTCATCATCCGTCGCCATTTTGCCTAGCTCTGCATTGACCAAATGATTCCCCAGGACACACGCAATGCGAGGCATTTAGGTTCCCTTAGTTCTGACTTCGTTGGCTTATCTTTATTCGGGAAATAGCCTTCTCCCTATTTCCGTTCCCTGATTGCTTTCCCTAAGGAGGAGCCACGACTGGGCCTGCTGTCGTGCCGAGCTAAGGGTGTGACTTAGTTTCCTTTATCACAAGCTCGTTTAGAGTGCCCTTGTCCCTTCGTGCCAGTGCGTAGGAGTCTGGGTTCGGCATCCCGCTAGGGAAAGTTTCCCGAGCAATATTCCCCTTTTCGACCTTCTCGGTCATGGCAACCATTAGGAGTCTACCCCCCCTCCTTTTTTATTGTCTAGTGGGTTCTGATGATCCGTGTCTGAGGCCCTTTCTTATTTCCATCGGCGACCTTCTCTACATAGCGGACTATACTCGATTTGCCTTATTGGCCCGCCTGCGGGGGCTAGTCCCGTTCTCACCCTCGTGGCCCTTCCGGTTCGGTAGGCTCTTCGAATAGTTGCGCCACCCCTGCTAGATAACTTTCCCCTATCTCGATTTCCCTTTGGATTATGCGTTCGCATCCCGCCCAGTCTAGCCGTGGCGCCCTAAACATCAGGATGTGGATGACTTCTAGTAACTTGTGGGCCCTGTTTCCCCAGAACGGTCCATGCTCCACAACGATATCGTAGAACATCCCAATGGTCGGGGAGGGGAAGTGGTCTAACTAGACTATCGCCAAATCTGCCAGCTCCTGCGCCCTCGCGAGGCTTCCGAAGACGAGGTCTATCATAAAACGGGGAACCTGGCACCTCAACGGTGTGGTTGGTGCCCTGAAATCCCTCCAACCTCCCATTTTCACCCGGGTAAGTAAGTCCACGTTCCCTCTACCCCTGACAGATTGTCCTATCCGTGTCAACACCCGGGCCGCCCTCCGAAAGACGGGGGTCAGCTCGTGGCCTTGCGCTATTCCCACCCCCAACGACTGCCATCCAATCTCGGGCAGATGTATGGTCCTGGTAACTTCCAAACTGGAAAATAAGTCATCCCCAGGTCCCCTGTTGATTCTCATCCCCGTCCACCGATATTCTACCAACATGAAGGCGGTGTCTCTCCCCAAAGTTACGGTCCGCCATTCTACGTCGAATCCCCGATAGTTGGAACTCGATGGGAGGGATACTTCCCATCGTCCGTCGTTATTCCAGGGCGGTCCGGGGTACCGGGGCTGGCGTTCCATTCGCACACGGGGCGGGCGTTCCATTCGCACACGTCTTGCTGCCATTATTGTCTTGGTGATTCTCTGCATAGTCCACATAGAAAGCGTTACAACCAACCCTCAGTAAATGTCCACCTACTACCCCCTCACCCTTTACGTTCTCATTCTTCCTTTTTGGTCCGACTATCCTTCCATACCCCCAGGAGCCGCAACCTCCTCTGGCTGCTCGTACAACTGGTAAAGGTCATCTATGTAGGTCGTGCCTCAACCTACTTCCCGCCTGATGACCCTCCACATGGCCTCATCACTTACTTGCGGAATCCCTGGCCTAGCACTTACCATTGCCCGTAGTATGCACAACACCTCGTACCCTTGTTCATCTTCAAAAGGCCCCATCTTTAGGAATGTCCGGTAGTACTCCCGATACATTAATGTCTCATCAAAATTCAGTGTAGTTATGGCAGCTACCGCCTGCTCCACTCGCTCTACGCCTTTCATTTGTCTTAGTAAAAAGGGCGGTAGACTCATTCGTATGACATCATTCGGCAACCCAAAGACCCCCGCTGCGGCAATTTTTACCTCAGCTGTCACGTCGTCTCGTTCTGGGACTGCGAACTCAAACCCCTCCCGCCAGGTTATTTGCCATGCTCCTTCGAACATTCGTAAGGGGTCATCCCTGGAAGCCAAGGCAATCCCAAAGGTCCACCACCCATCTTCCGACACGTGTAAGGATCCTGTCGCATGTACGCGCCCTAGGAGGTCCAAATCCATGCCCCGAACTCTCCTCTCGCACGCCATTCCAGCTCCACTACTAGGTATACCGTGTCCTCCACCAACTCTACCCCCACCCGGTCCATTACCGGGTTGCTTACCACATTTCTTGCTGGCAGGCTTATTTCGACCCCGCCCTCTGATGCTCTTGGTGGCAGGATCCCGCAAGGTTTATCCTCCCAAAACGTCATTCGCCGGACCATCTTGCAATGTCTCCTGCTCCCTTAGTCCGATTGCTGCACCCACCAAGATTCCGCGTCATTTCGTGCTTTAGTCTTTCAGTACTTCATACTCATCGTACACCAGTCCTTGCTGCTATCCCTGCCCCATACTCGTAAGACTTCATTCCCCCTTTCCGATTGTTGCTATTTCCCCCTTGTTTCGACCCTCACGCACCTCCTGCTGACTAATATACACGCCCCTCTCTTATGTTACACCTTAATTCACATGCACCTCCATACTCTGACCTCCCCGCGGCGTTCGATTCCTCGACCCCATTTAGTCGAACCACAGTACCTCGAACAGTTTAAAAACATGGTCTACGTAGAAAAAAAAAAAAAAAAAAAAAGGAGGGCGCGGCCGCCGCCTCCTGGCTAACTATGGCGTCCCAAACCCCTGCCTCTACCTCTAGGCGGTCATACTTGCCTATCCTTAGAACGATGATGACTTCTTCGGCTTTATCTCCGTAGAAGGGCTCATATTTTAATGAGATCCTATAGAACTCCTCGGTCAGCCAGACACACTCTATACGCATTTTTCTCATGGAGTCGGCTACTTCTAAAATTTGCTCAAACCCCCCAAACCACTCGGCTATGAACTCAGGTACCCAAGCCGTTGTCCGTAGGCTCGGAGGCTTAAATTCCTTCCATCCTCCCATCACAACTCTGCTACTAACTTCGTCCTATCCCTCGTTGCCGAACCTCTTGCCTTTTTTTTGGGTTCGGGCCTCTGCATCCCCTAGAAGCCACATCGGATCCTGTCCCATTGCTAACATAGTGCAAAATAGGTGCCACCCGTCCTCGGAAAGGACAATCGTTCGGACTGACTCTACTTTGCCCTCTGCTATATCATCCCAACCTTCCTCTTCCCTTATCGGGTTTCGAATCCGCTCTACCCATACATATGACAATTCCCGGGCAACCTCAAACCCAATCCAGTCGCACGTGGTCCCCCTCCATTCGTTCTCTGTTGGTATAGGCTTTTCTATTCCTCCCCTGAGTCGCCTTGGTTCCCATCCCTTGAAGGTGTATTCCATCATCCTTTCCTCTCTAGTCATCTCTCCCCTTCCTGCACAATACCAGGCCACCTGTTTTTCCTAGGTTAAGTCGCCCCCCCTTAGAAGTCCCAGTCCTCTATCTCATCATCCTCGTCCTCATCGCTGAAGTCGTCCTCTTCATTATAGAACAACCCCTTCACCCCTTCCAGAAATGTCTCCCCTATTGCCACATTTCTATAGACTATCCCCCAATGCACGGAGCTAGAGACAAAGACATCGTCCACGCTAAGAAAGTTTAATATCTCGGCCAACTCGTCTGCCCAGTTTCCCTCAAAAGGCCCCATTTCTACCGATAACCGAAAGAAGTCTCGCCTAGCGCACTGGTATAGTCCGAGGCTCGTCATGGACTGACATATCTGTACTAGTCTGCTTGGGGTTCCGAAAACCGCATCCACCAGGAAGGGAGGCAGCACCCATCGCATGGTTCTGACGGGTCGCCTCATGCTCCCTCTATCCCCAAGTTTCACCCGCACGTCTATCCTTTCCA